ATTATTATTACTATCAAATTTGTTTACGAGGAATGCGATGATATTGTAGACAACGACTGATGTCTTCTAGAAATATTTGGACAGTTGTTGTTTGCAGATCGCTTGTTGTTTTGATTGTGATGGTGTTCCTTTTGAGTGCCAAAATGCGTGATGTGCTAATGACAAAACCATTTGCACTTCCGTTCAACGAAATTGGTGATCCGAGTCGTTTGATTCAGCTTTGTGATGATATTTTCTGTGGTTAGTAATAGTTCACGATCATCTGTTGCGTTCGTTCACTTCATTCAGTACCAGTAAAGTAAAGTTTCGAAATGATTTCTCAGTACTTTCACTCGAAATGGTCTAATCTTCTCTTTGTTTTTTGTTTTCAGCTCGAAGCGCAGGTCTATTCGATCTGGAACATGATCTGTTCGGAAAATTGGTGTACATATTGCGTTCTTCTGAAGCGCTTATTCACTACACTGTCTACAGTATGAAAAGTTTACGATGATGAAAAATTTTTTATAAATTGTTTTTCATAAATTTTCTATAAAAAATAAAATGTAATTTTTTAAAATATATTCGTACAGATATCATTTTCGCGTACATTTTTGGTGCATATGAAAGTTGCAGTTATATATCTGTTGATGATTTTGTTTCATACATTTGGTGATGTAAATATAATCTGATAAAGTAAAATTGTTGAACGCCCGATTGTTTCTTGAAATATTCTGTCTGGCCTCTATATTAGGGAATAATCGCAAACGAAAAACATTTGGTTATTACCGAAGGCGCATAACAATAAGACACCAAGCATGTAACAATGCATAATCGTTGAATGTATATAAAATTTTATTATTCTTAAGTGAAATTAACATTTTTTCTCCTTTCCACTTTCAAACTCAATTTCAAATATAACAGAAAAAGAGTTGTGTTTTTTTGGGGAAAAGGACGAACGTTAGAAGTGCGCCACACAATTGCATGTATTCAGAATTATGAAACCATTCAAACGTTTCATAATGATTCATATGCTTATTGAAGAAATTCGGAAGTTCTTTTTTTTGAAAACGAATTTTTTCCTGCTGAAAATGATCGAAGAAAAATATCACAGAAGTCATCGGTCGGTTACTGGAAATAGTTCGTCTCTAATGACATTTTATTGAATGTTCATGATCCAGGAACATTTTTATGGATCACTCTGCCGATTGTTCCACAGTTGACAATTCCGTAAATGGCACTAAACTTGTTCCGAGAATATTCAAAAATTACTCATAACTTACTGCTGATGAGTGGAAGCAATGAGTCATATGCGCATTCATTTCATCTTTATTCAACATCAAAATGTGAAACCATTCAAATGGTTTTCACTGCTGAAATCTTACAGTAAAGTGAAATTTCTTCAATAATATGACTTGATGCAGTGAGGAAATTGTCTCTTCACTCTGTTGAAGTTGTCTCCTCACTTAAATGTTCATCAAAACTCTTTGATGTGAGCAAATTTGAAATATGCTCACAAAAACGTATGTTTTAATTGCATTAGGGTTGTTGCGCTCTGAAAATGGATTCGGAATCGTTAAAGAGATTTCATATAATATGGTGATCTGATCTATTCATATATCAAAAACATGCAGTTGTTGTACATAATCGCACAATAACTTCCGATGAATAAGTCCATTTAGGAGGCGATATGAATAACCACTGCATTGTGGATTAACTGGATAATTGGATAATAACAACCTGAGAAGGCATCAATCAATCACTTCCATGGATAATCGAAATCTTAACCCAGTCTAAATCTGTGTGAATTAACAACGACGGAAGTTTACTTGACTGAGTTCTTTTACCATGTGTTGTTAGAATCAGCTTCCATCACCAGTCTTTCTTCTATTCGCTCAGTTGAGGCATTGTTGCCCAAAAAAAACAAAACAAATCACACATCGAAAATATCTTCAAAACACAAACAAATCTCCATATTCACAAAAAATCTCCAAATCTGAACCAAAAATATGTACTTTCTAATTGCAATTGAATAATTCGCAATGAAATTATTTGTGGCTGAGATTCGTGAATTTGTTTCACAACAATGTCTTTATGTTATATCTCAGTTGGAATTG